AGTCGGGAAACGGGATCCTCCTGCAGGCCTCTGGGTGGCTCTGTGGGAGGGAGGTAGGGCGCAGGAAGGAAGGGACTGAAAACAGCGTTACTGTCGGAGGAACGCAAGTAACTTTATTAGGTAAGATGTTGCGGGTCCTCAGAAAATTGTATGAAAATATGCCAGTTGCAAAGGGTTTTATTAAAAACTGCCAGTCATAAACCCAAAAAGGTTCGGAATACTGCATTAGATTTCAGATAAAAAAAATTAGATATCCAATCCTTAGACGTTGTGCAATTGTGCAAATGCTTGAGCCCATTGAGGACAGCCTCACAAACATGTGCATGGAAAAGTTTGAAAAACATCTTTTTCACCATGCGATCTGTCAAATCAATGAATGGGTTCTAATTTTCATGAACTTAGAAATTAATGACATGACTAAGTGGCTGTTTAGGAATTTCAACTGAGTGAAATTGGTGTACTGCCTTACAATGTCAAGCAAAGGGCATAAGCTATAAAAAATGTAATGAAAAAGTAACAATAACGAGAGCTGTAAAGAAAAATGAAAAAAAGTGGATGCTGCAATAAAATTTTGAATTCCCACAAGCACACGCTTAACTTTTCTCAAAGAGAAGGATAATACCGTATATTCAACAATGAGAAGTCAAATGGTCATCAAAAGATAAAAGAGGGATGTGAAAATTCTGCAATTGAACAAGGCATTTTAAAGTGGTTCAAGCAAGCAAGGGCCATGCATCAGACAACCTGTCTTGTAACGGTAGGTGTTGCTTGCATCCAGAAATTGTACTATGCATGCATCTTTTTGGGGGAAAATGTAAATGTCAAGCAATATCATTTCCTGACAGCTGATTAATCAACCCATTGAAAATTTCACAAGTATTCAACAGACAGCAATTTTCGATCAATCACCTTCCATGGTTATTGAAAGAGTTCAAGAAAGTAAAGATGAATGTCTTTGAATACTGTATATCGGAGGTTGACTTCTTTTCAATTTTGTTAATTACGCCAAATCTTTAGAGGCCTAAGTCTTTAGATAATGCTAAGTCGAGAACAAATTGAAAATAATGCAGGATAAAGATACCCACCTTTTCAGAAATCTCAGGACATACCGTATTATCCCTTGAGTACCACGAACACATTTTTTTTTCTCTGATAGATCGAGAAAGAAAAGTTGAGTGCGCGCGGTTTGCGGGTACTGTGTACATTTTTGAAGAAAAAATGCATGCGATCATTTTGGCATTTCCGATAATTGATGAACAATTAATTTTTGACACCAATCGTGATGTAATTCTTCATGATCTTCGCTCTATTCAGTGGGTTCTCCTGTTACAAAGTATTATTTGGCAACGCATTTTGATTTCCTGCCAAAAAAACCGGGGTGCGGGTCTGATAGGTTTTCGGGCAAATTTTGGGTTAAAAAACTTGGTAATAGCCTTACTCGAGGGCTCGCGGTACTCGAGTAAATGCAGTACTTCATATTACGAGGAAGGAAAATAATATGCTATTTCCGCGTTCGAACGTGTTGAGGACTTGGACAAAGTCCGCAGTTGATACTCAATCCCAGAATATGAACATAGGGTGTTATTGTGAAGCACAATCTAGAAAAACAGTGCCGCTGCATTTGCATACTACATGCATTTCTCTGCTCATACTTGGGATCAGACGCATTTCAAAATCAATTGCACACCGACGCCCGAGAATGAAAAAGAGAGACAGGAAGCCATCATGGGATCATTTCGTTCCAGGAGGTGCCAACCTCATAGATAGAAAAGGGACGATTGAATCCATGATGAGCAAATTGCATGCATAAACATGCCGAACAACCAAACGGCACCGATTTGTCAACAGGAAAAAAAAAATGCAATTTCAATTTCTTTGGAACTCCTAAGGAAGTGCATTTGGAATGCCCACGCATACGTTTGCCTTTCTTGAAGCGAAAAGAATAACTGTTGAACTAGACAGGTCAAGTGCCAGAGTATTGCTTCGGCCACTTGAAGCTCGAAAACCCACTTTTTTCCGATGAATGACTTTGCATACATTGCAAATACATATGCAATATTCATTGCTTCAAAGATTCGTGTCGTGTTGTAACGCAGTTTCCGCAGTGCGGTAGCTCGACAATTTGAAAATGAAATACAGTAAACTATAATTTTGGAACGCTTCTGGTGTTCATAAGCTCCAGAAAGGAAGCTCGCAGTCTGATGTCCTCCGAAAGATGAAATCAATAACCAAGAAAGAAATCGTCCCACTCCTTCCGTTCCATTTGCAACAAAATAAATCTTCTTGAAGATGAACTTTATGACTAATCCCAAGAATGTTGCAAACCATGACCTGGTAACTTTCATTCAAAAATATTGAATACGAGAAGAATGTGTTGTTTATGTCGCATCTACAAAGAAATACGTGGACATGATTGAAGCTTGGATAAAACTTCGAACAATTGACTTTTGACACGCGCAGAAGCATTTGTGATCACTTGTTCCATTGGACTTCTTTCAGTCACCTCATGAATGCTTTTGTCTATGCAACTGATCTTGAAACCAAATTTTCTGCTCATTACATTCCTTGCATGGAGCGCAAATGTGGACGGTTTTCGTCAGAAATGACTAGGCTATTCTGTATAATCAAATAAAAAATACGTTGAAACTATTTTCGCACTTACTCAAAAATAAACTAAACTTGAAACAGAGGTATTTCTTTGTCAGTGTCCAATCATCATGCCGGTATTGCGACTTGAGCTTCAAGTCTGAAAGGAATGCTGCGATTACGAATAACAATTCAAGTACTGTATGCGCAACAGGATTCTAATTTATTGACTAGATCACCCCAAGTAGAAAATCCTCACGCATTTGCCAAACACCCGAACTGGCCCACAGGCAAAACACAAAAAAACAACCAAAAAAAAGATCACTGAAACAGGAGAGGAGAAATTTTAACTCCTCCGCACGGAAGAAAAAAACATTTTCAACTTCTTCTTCTTCAACAAAATGAAAAATCCCAACATCGTCGCCGGGTTCTTCTTCTACCCTCGGAAGGAATGCTGAGCGGATTTCCTTAAACTCTGGGCCGTTTTTGTGCTGAATGCACTAACGTACGGTCGGAATTGCTTTTCGTCCAAATCTGTGGCTGGTCTGGAATGAAGGTGCTTCTTGTTGTAGTCTGAGAAAACGACGTTGGAATCCTTGTAAGGCGGCAAGTTGGAGGCGAAACCTTTGATGCTCTGTGGACTCCTGCGAGCCCTGGCAAATGTCTGCGTGGTTTTCTTGTATAGTGAGCACTCAGCGCATCTGAGAGAAGCAACAGCATCAACCTTTGTCAAAGCAACCAGGCCAGTGTTGGACATGGAAATAAAGCGAAATGAATAATTTAATGAAATCCGAGGAAACTATTTACCTCAATCGTGAGATTGAAATAATTTAAGCGTTCATTATTAGTTCTGCAAGATGTGGCCAATGTGAACTTGACTCATTTGAGCAAATCAAGCAAACGCAATTTAATGAATTGATGCTTGATAGTATAGTTTCCGTAGAAAACACCTGTTTCTGCTGGACTTGAATCACTTTTTATGGACAGAATTAAATCAGGATGTCAACAAGAAGGCCTCTTCTACGTTTTCAAATACGGATGCCCCGCAGAAACAAACAGCTCCTTTACAGAGTCCAAAACTTTTAGAGATGGACTTTCTCTACGAGAATCTTGTCTACAACGATTTTCTGTGTATACAAATTTTTTTTATCCAAAAGGTTCTGTTCCCTTTGCTAAAAGGGTTCTGTACAACAAAATTCCCTGTATCACCCATTTTTTTCTGGTCCCTTGAATTTTATTGTAGAGAGAGTCCACATGTTCTGTGTATCCAATTAAGTCTCTCCCAGATGAAACCCTCTCTTTGATTTGCCACGAACTGTATGCAAATAAGACTAATTGCTTTTATGGATCTACTTTAAACCTTTCATCTCATAATAAAAATTAAGTATGAATCATTGCACGCGAAATTTATAGCTGTTTGAGCGTGAATGGCAGGCAGCAAAAATAAACTTTACATGTGGGTTATACATCATTTCAAAGTTCTCTTTATTCTCCTAAGTTTTCAGATCCATGAAAGTGGAAAGCCTTTAGCATTTTTGAATAAACTATCCTAGAATAGCCAGGCCTTTGCCTGAATAATGTAGAATAAAAGAAAAGCTGTTTTTGGTAATGGAAGCCCAAAAGCTGCCTGGAACTGCACCATTGATTTAATAAGTGTATGTCTTCTCAGAAATGGAAATTTGTTTGCTCAATCCAGGATTCAGACTTATGTACACCAAAGTTATTTCAGAAGGACGATGTAGAAAGTGAAAAAAAGGAGACAAAACTTTTCATATGCTTGAACTCAAAATTCGACAGCTTTCAGGAATAGCCAAAGAGTAGCTCTCTTTATGACAAATAATTAAAATTACAAAGCTGTCTTCCCAATTGTTGATTGGATATTAAAATAATATTCAGCGTAGGTCCAAGTTCGGAACTTGTTCTCACCTGAGCCAGATGCCTTCTCAACCTAGTAACCAAGGGAAACTTCAATGGCTCAATCTGCTCTCCGTGATGCTCTGGCAAACCATCGTCAAGTTTTGGCACAAATCGTTTGCTTCTTCCGGAGAGCAATTCTGGAAATTTCTCTTCCCCGATTTCTTCCGGCTCAAATGGGGCCTGAGCTGGAATTTTCCCGGATCGCAGAAGCTCAATCACGCTTTCGCTCAACACTGCTGCCTCAGGGAAACCCTCGACTTCACCGTCATCAGTCTCCACATCAACACTTTCATCGTCGTCGTCCAAGACTTCAGTCACCTTTTGATCCAATTCTGCTTGTCGGCGAGGTCGCTGTTTTCCGGGGAAAACGTCGTCCAAGACAGAAATTTGATAACCGGGGAAAACGTCATCGAGGCTTCGTTTTTTCCTCATTTGTCCTGGGAAGACGTCGTCAACAACTGATCTCTGACCACCAGGAAAAACATCATCAATAAAAGATTTTTGTTTTCCTGGGAAAACGTCATCGACACTTCTCCTGGCTTTGACTGGTTCAGGGAAAACGTCATCAAAGATTGATTTTTGCCTTCCCGGAAACACGTCATCGACAACTGGATTTTGGCGGCCGGGAAAAACGTCATCAACACTTCTCCTGCTTTTCACTGACTCAGGAAAAACGTCGCCAAGGATTGATCTTTGCCTTCCCGGAAACACGTCATCGACAACTGGATTTTGGCGGCCAGGAAAAACGTCCGCAACACTTCTCCTGCTTTTCACTGACTCAGGAAAAACGTCGCCAAGGATTAATCTTTGCCTTCCCGGAAACACGTCATCGACAACTGGATTTTGGCGGCCAGGAAAAACGTCAGCAACACTTCTCCTGGTTTTCACTGGCTCAGGAAAAGCGTCGTCAAAAATTGATCTTTGTCCTCTTGGAAACATGTCGCCAATGACTGGATTTTGGCGGCCAGGAAAAACGTCATCGACGCTTCTCTTGGGTTTCACTGGCTCAGGAAAAACGTCGTCAAAGGCGGATTTTTGCCCTCCAGGAAAAACGTCCCCAAAAATTGATCTTTGTCTTCCTGGAAACACGTCGTCAACACTCCTTTTGATTTTTATCTGTACTGGTAAAATGCCTCTGGTGCTTCTTTTGACCTTCACCAGGCCTGGAAAAACATCACCCAAGACTGATTGCTGGCTTCCGGGAAAAACGTCACCAGCAACTAGCTTCTGAGTCTCAATGACGTTCCTTCGATTACGATTCAGAATGTTGCTCAAATCCTGGGGACTTCTCCGAGATCTGGATTTACCGGGGAAAACGTCGTCGACGTAGGACCTTTGTTGGCCTGGGAAAACGTCATCAATGACGGATTTTTGGGCTCCAGGAAATACGTCGTCTAGGCTTCTTTTGATTTTCATTCGACCAGGAAAGACATCATCAATCACAGTTGTAGATCCTGTTTTTTTGAAATTGGTTTGGATTGCTTTTGAATTCACAAGTGCCACCTGCAAATTGAACAACAACGAGATCTTTCAAAAAAATTTCTTTTCATGGATCATGATCGTAAAATCGTTTTTTTTTTTATGACTGCATTTTTATAGACAGCCGATAATTGACAAGAAAAAATGTGCCCAAACGAGCTTACATTTAAACATTGGTGGGCTGATGGAAATTCTATCAGTGATAACGGAAATCCCAATGCTATTTCAAATCTTCAGAAGAATCGTAAGTGTAATTTATAAATGAAACCTATTTTGCTTGAAGTATGCTCATCAAACTACAGTATAAACTTTTTGCTGCACATGTTGGAAGCTTCCGCGAATTTTGAAGAAATACTTTCAATAGTAACCACACCCGAGAATGCGTGATCAGCATATTTTTAACCGAACTTTTTTTTCAAGTACAGTATTTGAATCAATTTTGAAAATGCCTTGCAAGAAGCAACCGAGTCTGAGTCTTCTTCGCAATTTCTGCATAACTGAGAAAATCTAACTTTGATAACCACTGGATTTTCGATCAAATAAATAAGCATAACTGTGTGTATTTTTCTTGTTAGATTCATACAATTCAGAAAGATGAAAGATCCGAGGAATCTTGACCTGTTAATGCTCCTGAATTGTAGAGAAAAACCAAGAACACGGTCGCAGAGACCGTTCTAATGAGTTTTTCTTAATTCACAGATTAAAAATAAATTTTTAAAATGGGAAAGTTTCACTCACCGAACACAAAGAAATGAGTCCGAAGACCAAAAATGCCGTGCGTGTTGAAAATATCAGGGTTGCCGCCATGATTCTCTCCTGATTCTCAAGCTAAATTTCATTTAGCTCAAAATCCTTTTTTTGCCTTTTCACGATGGAATCGATTAGGATTCACGCGTTCTTCTCTGTTAACGTACAGGAAAACACTAGAGTAAACTCGCCGACTTGCTTCTGCAATCGATGAGATGCAATAGACGAGTGGGCTCGAGAAAGTCAGCTTTATGTATCCGAACAATGGCGAGATTCGATGCCTTTTTCGACGCAGGTGCTCATTTGCATCATTTTCCAAGAATGGTTGGAATAACGCAAATGGCGTCGGAAAAACAAGCTTTGAATTTAACATGGGTCTGTGCACTGTTTTGTTGATGCTCCGAACAGCCTCGAAAGCTGCTTAATGATGCGTATGCTCCGGCGATTATGTTGATCATGATAAAAATAGATGTGAACCTTTTTCATCATCTGTACCTTCTCCGCCATAAACAAAATTTGAGCAATTTGAAATTTGGATCCAGGTATTGTCATTTTCTTTGTGTCAGACGCAGAAAATGTAGCAACAATGAGTCAACAAAGTGAAACATATTCCAGAAGCCATCCAAGAAAATTGGTTGCACAGTATTTTTTTATCAGCATGAAAAATTATGAAAAATTACCATTAAAGTCCAAAGGAAAATGTTATGAATAATTATGTTCACATCTTAGGGCACCACTATACAGTACTTCATGTGTGATGTACAGCAGAGGAAGTTGCCCTCTTTACGGGGTTAAGCCAAGAATACTGTAATTCCAAACTCGAGAATTTAAATGCTGCATTTGTTGAGATTGACAAGTACTGTACAGTCAACCCTCAATTTTGTGCCGCAAATTCCAGAGAAACAAATGTCCAACTGTGTTCTTGAAAGAAACCCTGATTCAGTGCCAACTCAGTTAGTGCCACAATAAATTCCCTGTCCTGCTCAAAGAATTGGCCAAAATAAGAGAAATTAATGTTCAGGATAATTAAAAAAATGTATGTATCTGAATGTACATTTAGTTGAGTGGTTGAAATTGCAAAGAGCATCTCAATGACTGAAAATGTCTCCTTTAAAAAATTGAAGATCAATCAATCTGACATTAGAATTGTGTGCTTTCATTGGAAGGTTGATACAAAACTGCAAGAAACAGTTCCACTCTTTTACTTGGCCCAAGATGAGCAAATATCTAATATATTCTGCATTATGACATAAATTTAAATGCAGAAGGTAAAAATATTTCATTGAGCCTCAAGTTATTTAGTTTGGCTTTCTATTTTATAATACAGACTCAATAGCCGAACAAATCTTGCACTGGAGCATGTTTTACCTATGGTAGAAGCCCTAGATGAATTTTCTTTTGATAAAATACCCCCATTTAGTGCCAACCCTGCTTAGTGCCACGAAATGTTCCAGGAAAAACATTGACACTGAATCAGGGTTTGACTATATGATATTATTTCTTCAAAACTCCAAATCATTTCGGAACTTACAGATGAGGAGAAAAAATTAGGCAATTTTTCTTCTCAAAAGTTGGAGTTGCAAAACGATGTACAGTTATGAGAAATTCGATCATATCTCTCTGCAGGATTTCCTTGGGAAGCACCAAAATGAATTTAGTCATGCTTTTGCGATCAAGAAAGAATCTTTCAATCTCAACTGCGACACCACAACCATTGATGGCAGAGGCATGATTCCCCCACAACTGGCACAGCAACAACTTGCACAGTGCAACAACTGGTACCGGTGTGGCAGTCAGGAGCGTCCGCCGTCCGGACCGTCCGGCCGGACAGTCCCGCCTAGTCAGGACCGTCCGGTCAGACATTCCTGCCGCCGTCAGGACTGTCCGGGCCCCAGTCAGGAGCGTCCGGCCCCCAGTCAGGGATGTCCGGGTATAAAAAAAAAAATCGCTGTGCAACTTCTTCTGCATTTGGTCTGGTAAAAGGCTTTGCTTCAATCCATTTACTGAAGTAATCACATACCATAATAATGCCAGTAAAATCACTGTCAGTAGGAACTAGTTTACACAAGTCTACACCAATTTGTTTCCAAACTTCTTCTTTAATTGGGACTGATTTTAACCCAGGCATAGCTTTATCAAATTAAGTATCTCCTTTCTGGCAGTTCAAACAAGTTTTGATGTAGTCACAAACATCCTTGTTCATCAATGGCCAATAAACACCAGCATCAAGTAGCTTGGTGTATGTCTTATCTTGACCAAAGTGACCTCCTAAGGCAGCTACTTGTAGGGATTAGGGAATTACCAGCTCCCTCATGTGCTGCCTTCAAGTAACGCTGTTGGTCTTCTTTTTTGAAAATAACCCATAAATATGTGGGTTCTTTGACCTTTTTCACTTCAGCATATCAAAAGAATAAAAAGTATTGGCTTATAAACTGGGATCCAGCTTGCAAATGTTTTTGAAAACAAAACCTTGACAGTTCTTTAAATAATAAGTTGGCATGGTTCTAAATTAAAAGCACTCAAGATTATGTAAGCATTCCAGCTAATGAACATCACAAGAAATTATGCTTGTTAGCTAAAAGCACATCTCACAAAATAAGATGTTTTTTCCAAAAGTTTTAAAGAAATAATCCAAAACTGTGCCTTACCATTCTTACAATAAAGCCATTGGAGGGAATTTTATGAACAAATATTCTCATGTTCTTTGTGCATGAAAGTACACTTTTTGGCTTCATTTAATGGAATTACTATTCTAATGATATTTGAAAAATAAAAAAAATTATTACTTGAAATTCAACTGGTTGTTCAGCATCACATAGGAAGCTGCTGTACATTGGAGCACCCTCTTCTCATTATTGCTCTGCATTTCCTCATTGTACCTTCCTTCTTCCAAATAGACAATGATCTTCTTACACATTTCTTCATATTGTTCTGCAGTCATTTGTAATGATTAAGTTGATTTAAAAGTTAATCTTGGTAGGAAGATTATTACTGAAGAATTTTGAATAAAAAATTTTATTAAAAATTTCTAATAAAATTTTCTTGCAGGTAAAACCTTCAAGATTTTCAATAACTTTCATCATTTAACATGCTTTCAACCACTGTCTATGTAGTTCTGTACTATTTCATTTGTAAAACCTTCATAATGTAGGATTTTCAATCCCGGACGCTCCCGACTGGCGGCAGGACACTCCTGACTGGGGGCCGGACACTCCGGACCAGGGGTCGGATGCTCCAAACTAGGTGAGAGTGTCCGGCCGGACGCTCCTGCCTACCCGGACGCTCCCGACTCCTACACCGGGACAACTAGAAATGTGCGAAAACTCCCACAGTTTTTTCTCCTACTAAACTTTTGTTGTTTTAAATTTAGGATCAAGCCAATAGGTACTTTCCTGTTATCTCTGTACCTCATTCCTAGACCACACTACCATCCAGACAACTCTTTAGGGCAAGTTCATAATCACAACAACCTACCAGAAACTGTGAATTTTATTTTTCTGCATTCTGCTGAAACTGATTTTGGGAGGCAGTTAGGTAAAGTTAGGTTAGGTGAGGTTATGTTATTTACAGATATATTTTAATTAACATAACCTGACCTAACCTAACTTGACCTAACCACCTCCCAAAATCAGTTTCAGCAGAAACCCAAAGAAAGCAGAAACTGATTTTGGGAGGCAGTTTGGTGAAGTTAGGTTAGGTCAGGTTAAATTGGTCAGAGGGAAGGTACAGAGATAGCAGGAAAGTACCAGCCAATATAAATAATTTTTGCATAAAGATTCTCTTTTGTCCTAAATTAATTGTATACATTTTTCATTTTCTAAATATGCAAAGTGGGGCTTGAGAACATAAAAAATTCCAAGATGAATTTGTCCATGAGAATCTCTCTGCTTTTTTTGGCCTGGAGGAACAGGATTCTGTTCATCCTCAAATTTTTTGCAATACTATTGTTTTCAATCTAGTCAAGGATAATTCTGATGCATGTGCCAATTATAGTTTTGGCAGAACCACAAAAAATGAGGCATCTCTGCTTGATGCAAGACAATCTGCTGCATATACATGACCATCCCAAAGTTGACTAACTTCCCCAGAATAATTTTTCCATGCGTCCTTGACTAGATTGAAAGTACTATAGATATAAAAAAAATCGAGGATGAACATAATCCTATTTCTCCATGCCAAAAAAAAAAACCAGAGATATTTTCATGGACAAATTTATCTTGGAATTGTATATGTTATCTAGCCCTGTTGAGTATGTTTAGAAAATGAAAAATGCATACATTTAACGTAGGACAAAAGAAAATCTATATGAAAAAAGTATTCAAATTTGCCTGAACCGAAATTTAAAACTACAAAATATTAGTAAAAAAATGGGCGAGTTCTTGCACTGAGGAAGTTGTCCCACAACCCAGAGGCACACAACCCAGCCAATCGTTACAGAGCATCCAGCATTTATTCAGAATTTAGCCGCTACGACATTCAAATTGAAGTGAAGATATGAGCTGAAGTATGAATTATTCTCAGTGAGACTGTTATGGTTGTACTCGTTGCAATGCAGGACGGAAGAAAGAATTTGTTGAGAACGAGACGGACTTGCATGACATAGTCTGACACTTGTGGGGTGAGCCATGGAAAACACCTATCTTGTTCACGAACTGTCAGGAAGATGTCGCTGCCGCGGTCCATTTCAGCCATGTGAAGTAGTCGTAGGAGAAGTCCAGACAAGAACGGGCGAGGTCAATTTGCTGGATTTTGAATTATATGCAGCTTTGGAATGTACATTGATGTTTTGAGATTTTCAATGCTTTTAAAATTGTAAATATTTGAGAATTCTGTTATTTACAATTGAAAGTGTGAACTATTTTTCCCGATTTTCACTCGATTCTTGAAGAAATTTTGGTTTTGTTCATAACTTTCTCAATGATTATTATTTTCAAATGAAGCAAACCAAAAATGCAGAAAAAACCATGTGAAATAAACCTCCTTAAAAATGGAAATTCGGTTGGAAAGGTTGAATGTAAAACTCGGAAAATTCACCCGAGACTCGGAAAATGCACCAGGATGCTTTTAAGACAAAACCATGTATGCTAATGCAATAAAACATAGCAATTTACGTGACTTCATGTGTTCATTTTTTTAATCGAAGTAAAACTTGGAAGGATATTGACCCTGCTTCAGCAGCGCAACATGAATTGCATTCAACACGAGACACGATCGCGACTTATCTTCCATAACAGGATATCTATTCTACGTCTCATGTGCGTATTGGTGAGGATAAAACTTTCAGTGATTGTAAGGCTTGAAACTAAAGTGTGAGGAAACCGAGCAGAATGCATGAATAAAACCACATGGAATAAGGCAAGAACTACGAATGGAAGAGCAATAATGATTATGGCAGGGTTTATGATTATTGATGCAGGTTATTCAAGCTGAAGCAGTTATTCAAGAGGGTATTTAAGACGAAGCAGTGTTGAACGTAAGTTATTCAAGACCTGTGTTTAATTTTCAACTATCAAAATTTTTCTGAGGGTTTTTTTTTTTAGCTCCAGTTCTAATTGTGTGAAAAGGATTCTTGCAGATCTGCTGCTTTTTCCCTGACACCTCTTTCTTGTTATGGAATTCTAAAAGTTTGACGGGAATAATTGAAAAGATTATATGGTGCGCAGTTAATCCCTTGTTTTCATCACATTTGAATTACATTCCCTGCTGCGTTTCTCAAGAAGGTTTTTTTCTTTTTCTTCACTATAGTGGAAGGTCGAATCCTCAAAAATTATTTTTACGGATTTGCTATTTTCTGTGAAAATTTCCTGAGGAATATTTTTTCATTCACATGTTTCTACAGAAACTCAATCTGAAATCTTTGCTGAATTCACTTTTTCATCCATCCCTCTGTTTGCGCGAGAAATACGATAATTATTAATTCGAATTATTTTTTCTATTTTTTGTTCGAACTTTTGATGAATGAGAGTTTGAATATTTAATACCGTTTCGAAATATAATTACTTTACCTTTCAAACTACAGGTAATTATTAAATACAGTTTGAATCTACGACGAAATGCAGGGTATACCAGAGAACATCGTTGTTGGAAGAATTTCTTTGTAGAGAACCCTACTTGAGACAGAAAAATTGTTAAACTTTGCAGAGATGCAGAATTTGTCCTAGACAATATCGTTGTAGAAAGAGTTTACCTGTACAAAAAGCCACCTTATTCTTAAATGAATGACAGATGACTTCATTTTGGCCATACACCTCGTATATTAATTTCGGGGAATTTCTGGGGAGTGAAAACAATAATACAAACGTGGGAAAAGGGCTCGGGATGGAGTACAACTTGATATGTGCGAAATGCCCTCCAGCTTGGTTCCAATAACAAATTTTCTGTCTCAGGCTCAGCTCTTGAAAAAAAAAAATTCCCTTTGAATTTTGATTCAATAGCTTCTTCGATTTGAGAGATTAACTGACCTGTGATGATGTGTTACTTGCTATCAAATCCAATATTGGTCCACCTGTGAGTGTGTACAGTATTACCATGTATACATGAGTACCATGCGCACAAAAAGGGTATGTGTGGTACCCTTTGTTAAATTTTTTGAGGAAAACTTTTTTAAAACTCTGCGCGTTGTGCATAAAAAAATTAAGAGAAAATGCATGGCGCCAAGTCTTGTTCATGGGAAATAATGGTTGAAGGGATATGAATTTTAGGAATCAGTTGGAGATGCAACAGGAAGTAAAGTGGTTTTTTTTTTTTTTTTTTTTTAGCTCCAGTTCTAATTGTGTGAAAAGGATTCTTACAGATCTGTGGCATTTTCCCTGACACTTCTTTGTTGTTATGGAATTCAGAAAGCTTGACGGGAATAATTGAAA